ATAGCTTAAATTGCATTTCCCTTATAACCAATGATGGTGAATATCTTTTCATGTGCTTTATTGGCCATTTGTGTATCTTTTTTGTGTCTGATCAAGTATTTTTCCCATTAAAAAAATTGGGCTATGTGTCTTTTTCTTATTACTTTCTAGGAGTTCTTTCTACATTCTTAATTATGGGTGTTTTGTGTATGTATTGTAAATATTTTCTCCCAGTCTGTGGCTTGACTTTTCATTTTCTCAATAGTGTCTTTTGATGAGCAGAAGTTTTAATTTTGATAAGATCCAGTTTTTGAAGATTTTCTCTTATGGTTGGGGCTTTTTGTACTATGTTAAGAAATCCATGCTTATGTCAAGGTTGCAAAGATATCCTCTTATATTTCCTTCTAGGGTATTTTTAGTTTCAGCTTCTATGTTGAGGTCTATAATCTAGCTCAAGTTAATTTTTTGTTAACTTTTTCTATGGTTTGTTTTCTATTTCTGTTCTTTAGTAGTTCCTTTCTTTTACTTCCTTTAGGTTTATTTGGTCCTTCATTTTCTATTAGCTAATGGCTCCTTGAGGGTAAATTTTAGGACACTGATTTAAACTTTTCTAATATGACTGTATAAAGCTATAAATTTTCTTCTAAATTTGTCTCTTATCTGCCTCTCACAAATTTTGATACATTGTAGTAAGCAGCCTTCTAAAATGGCTCTCAGTGATCCCCACTACTCAGTATTCATGACCTCATGTAATCCACTTCACTTTGTGTGTGGGCTGGACCTAGTGACTTGCTTCTAATAAATAGAATATGGCAAAAGTGATGGGATAGCCCTTCTGATGTTAGGTTATAAGAGACTGTAAGGTGGCTTGCCAGCACACTCTCTGGCTCTTCTTGCTTGCTCTGATGAAGCAAGCTGCCATGTTGTGAGCTGCCCTCATCTATTACCTCACAGTTTCTGTGAGTCAGGAATCTAGGTGTGGCTTACATGGGTCCCCTCACTCACGGTCTCTCACAAGGCTGTAGTCCATGGTGTTGGCTGGGGCTACATTCATCTTGAAGATTGCCTAGGGAAGGATCCACTTCCAAGCTTACTCAAAGTGATTGTTGGTAAGATTCAGTTCCTTACAGGCTGTTGTGCTGAGTGACTCAGTTGTTTTAACTTACTAAGTTCTAGAGTGATTTTCTATGCATCAAATAGATAAGTAACACAAATCTTGGTACTGGGAATAGGGCACCCTGAAAATGTGGGAGTGTCCTTCAAACTGAGAAGTTGGTGGAGGCTGGAAAAGATTTTAAGGAGAATGTTAGAGAAATCCTAAATTTCAGACAGATCTATGGGTATAGCTTTTGTCTAATGAAGTAAACCCAGTGAGATTCACAGAAGATAAAATATTACAGCAAACTATATTAGCAGAAATACTACCACTTTGGACTGAAAGGAATATAAACAATAAAAAATGGAAAAATCTGTTAGCCCCCAAAATTCTTCTGGCAGGAAGCAGGCTGAGCAAACTCTTTTGTTGCCTTTCATGAAAAAGGAAGGATGACTCAGATGGTGATGCCAAGAACCCAGTGTGTGGTGCAAAGAGCCATGAAGAATTATTCCTAGGCCTTCAGAACTCTTAACATTTAACCAGAGCTGTGAGAAATAAATTCTAATCAAAGAACTCCTAACATTTAACTAGCCAGATAATACTTTATTTTCTTCAGCATTTTAAAAGTATCATCCAACTGTATTGTAGCCTCCATTTCTTCTGTTGAGCAATAAGTGGTCACTTGAATCACCATTTCTCTATATGTAATATTTGTTGGGGGGCAGTGTTTGTTTTTTGCTGTCCTAGCTGCTTGTAAAATCTTGTCTTCTTTGGTTCTCAATAGTTTGTCTATGATGTTCCTAGGAATGGCTTTATGCGGATTATTCTGTTTGAAATGTGCAAAACTTATTGAATCTGTAAATGTATGTCTTTTACCAAATTTGAGGAGTTTCTGCACATTATTATTTTATTTTTATTATACTTTAAGTTCTGGGGTACATGTGCAGAACATGCAGGTTTGTTACATGGTTATACACGTGTCTTGGTGGTTTGCTGCATCCATCACCCCATCATCTACATTAGGTATTTCTCCTAGTGCTATCCCTTCCCTAGCCCCCTGCCCCCCAACAGGCCCCGGTGTGTGATGTTCCCCTCCCTGTGTCCATGTGTTCTCATTGTTCAACTCCCACTTATGGGTGAAAACATGTGGTGTTTGGTTTTCTGTTCTTATGTTAGTTTGCTGAGAATGATGGTTTCCAGCTTTATCCGTGTCCTTGTAAAGAACATGAACTCATCCTTTTTTATGGCTACATAGTATTCCATGGTATATATGTCTGCACATTATATTTAAAAATATCTTTTCTGCTCTTCTTTCCTTCTGGGTCTTAAATTACATGTATGTTAGATGTTTTGATTTTTGTCTTACTCATCTGTCTTAGTCTGTTTGTCCTACTGTAACAACATCCCTGAGATTGGGTATGTTATAAACAATAGAAATTTATTTCTCACAGTTCTGGAGGCTGAGAAGTGCAAGATAAACGCACCAGCAACCTAGGTATCCAGTGAAGGCTGCTGTCTGCTTCCAAGATGGCACCTTGTTGCTGTGTCCTCCAGAAGGGGTGAATTCTGTGTCCTCACATGGTGGAAAGGGTGGAAGGTCAAAAAGGAAGGACATAGCTAGTTCCCTCCAGCCCTTTTAAAAGAACACTCCTAATCCATTCATGAGCCCTCATGACCTAAATACCTCCCAAAGGCCATACCTCTTAATATTGTTGCATTAGGATTTAGTTTAAACATGAATTTTGGAGGGATCACAAACATTCAAACCATAGCATCATCCTTGAGACTGTATTTGTTTTTATTTTCGATTTTATTTTCACTGCTTTTCAGATTGGATAATTTCTGTTGGTCTTTCTTTAAGTTAATTACCTCTTTCTTCAATTATCTCTATTCTTCTGTTAAGCCCATCCAGTGAACTTTTTAGTTTCAGATGGTATTTTTCAGTTTTTTTTAATAGTTTATATTTCTCAGTTGGCCTATCCTATTTATTCATTTATTATGAACATATTTATATGTTTTTGAGCATAATTATAACTAACTGATTTAAAGTGCTTTTCTGCTAATTCTAGCATTTAGATCACCTCTGGTCAGTCTCTGAGTTCATTTTCTCTTGAGCCTCTTCCCTTTCACGCCACACCTTTCTGTCTCTCTTTAAGTTGTTTTGGATTGTGTCTTTGTTGTGAAACATGTATTAGAGATGCTTGATTCTGTTTAATTCCTCTGAATAGTGCTGATTTTTTGTTTTGCTTTGTAAGAAGCACTTAACATGCCTGGATCAAACTAGGAACTAGTTTTCTCTGTGGTATGTGGTAGCTCAAGTTTCAGTTCATTTAGCTGGTCAACTAGAGATTTGGGCGGAGTTCATCCACAGAATTTCGGCACTCTTCTCTCTTTCAATGCCTTTCTGGAAACCCCACTACCTGGATTTTCCAGGGGTAGTGATGACTATAGAACTCCCCTTTGATTCTTCAGGGCAATAACACGTGGTTTTCATTTCTTCTCTGTCTCTTTTTTTTTTTTTTTTTTTGAGACAGGGTCTGGCTCTGTCACCCAGGCTGGGGTGCAGTGGCACAATGAGCTCACTGCAGCCTTGACCTCCCAGGTTTAATCAGTCCTTCCACCTCAGCCTCCCAAGTAGCCAGGACCATAGGCATGCACCACTTCTCTTGGAATTTTAGTTACCCCACATGGCACTGACTGGGCCTATTCACAAGCTAAAGTGCCAACCTCTCTTCTAAGTGTCAACTCTCCTTCAAGTACAGCCTGACTTGGGTTGCTCCTTAGTATCTTTAGATAGTTTTTAAAATATTTTTTGCTCAGAGTTTATAGTTGTTATCTGTACGAAGGCTGGTCTGTTAAAAGCAATGCAGTCATACTGAAACTTAATTTTCATTAATTTTTGTATATGGTGTGAGGTGTGGGTCAAGGTTTGTGGTTTTTTCCTGATACTGATATCTATCCGTTCCAGCACAATTTGTTTAAAAGACTTCCCTTTTGCTCATTGAATCTCATTGGCACCTTTGTCCAAAAAAAAAATTGTCTGTATATGTGTGGGTTTGTTTCTTCACTTTATTCTGTTCTAATGATATGTCTGTCTGTGCTTACATCATCCCATACTGCTTAAATTACTGTAGCTTTACAGTATATCTTAACATTAAGGGGTATAAATCCTTCACACTTTTTCTTGATTTTGACTATTCTGAGTCCTTTGCATAGCCATATAAACATTAACATTTTATCAATTTTTACCAAAATCTTGACAAATAAGTGATTAAACCCGTAGAAAACAAATCAGTGATGCAACAGGAAATTTCAACAACATTCAACCAACTTGATTTACATATTACAGAACACTACAGCCATCAATAGCCAAATATATATTCTTTTCAGGGAAACGTGGAAACATTCTCCTAGATAGACCATATGTTGAAATCACACAGAGTGTACTTTCTGACCACCACAGAATCAAATTAAAAATGACCAATAAGAAATGACCAATAAAAAGGCATCAAGAAAAAAGACCATATTTTTGAAGAGTAAATGAAAACAACAGGAGAGGGAGCTATGTGAAATTTTTAAAAATTGGGATGGAGGGGATATATGTGCTTCCTTCTAAAAGTTATAGAGCACAAATTTCTCATAAAAATGAGCAACAAAATAGGATCAAGGTCAAATCCTTGCTAAAAATTATCATTTTTAATAAATGGAAGACTAAGTGTCATACATAATGAATAGCAGAAATTTATGATTAGATTTTTTATATTCTACATAATATTACATATGTGTGTATATTTAAACTAAGTATTTAATGGGCATACCATATGGTATATTGTGATGAAAAAGTATTAAAAACAACTTCCTATCTGTCTTCTCCCCATCCTCCAGTGCTGATCATGTTGCCTTGAACAAGACTGTGTTGTTACAGGTATCAGTGTCATTTGAGGATGTGACTGTGGACTTCAGTAGAGAAGAGTGGCAGCAACTGGACTCTACTCAAAGACGCCTGTACCAGGATGTAATGTTGGAGAACTACAGCCACCTGCTGTCAGTGGGTAAGGACAACCATCCTATGAAGCTGTGAGTAGCCTGTTATGGGTTAAATTGTGTCCCCCAAATAAAATATGTTAAAGTCCTACTAACCCCCAGGCCCCTAGAAAGCACAACCTGGTTTCTCTTGGCTGCTTAAAGAGCTTATTTGGAAATAGAGTCTTTAGGGTGGGCCTTAATCTAATATAATTGGTGTCCTTATAAAAAGGGGAAAACTGGGGACACACACACACACACACACACACACACACACACACGGGGAAGGCAATATGAAGATACACAGGGAGAAGATGGAATGTGACTAGAATGATACATCTGTAAGCCAAGAAACACTTGAGGCCACCAGAAGCTAAGAGAGATCTGGAACAGTTCCTTCCCTAGCACCTTCAAAGAGAGTATGACCCTGCTAACACCTTGGGGTTTTGGAGTTCTGGCCCCAAAACTGTGAGACAATAAATGTCTGTTGTTTTGAGCCCCCTAGTTTGTGGTACTTTGTTTTAACAGCCCTAGGAAACTAATACAGAGTTTTATACTTGAAAATGGGGTACTGCTGTGAGAAATACCTTAAAAATGTGAAAGTGGCTTTGGAATTGGGTAACAGGTAGAGGCTGGAGGAAGGGGCTAGGTTTTGATATGCTTGACAGAAAAAGCCTAGATTGCCTTAACCAGACTATCGGTAGAAACATGAATGTTAAAGGTACTTTTGATGAAATCTCAGATAGAAATAAGGAACATATTATTGCAAGCTGGGAGAACAGCAATCCTTGTTATAAAGTACCAGAGAATATGGCTAAATTGTGTTCTTGTTCTTTT